CCCCAAAACCCCAAAACCCCAAAACCCCTAGCTTTAAATGTAAAAAGTAAGATCGATATATACATATTTGAAAATGGAAAATTTAATTTCATTAAAGATTAGAGACTCATATGAGAGATATAAAATACAAGATATTATCAATTCCGGGGCGTTTGGAAAAGTTTATATTGCTCAAGATTTAAATAGTTCTCATAAAAAAGAAGTTGCTTTTAAATAATAGGATTTGTCTATACTTTAAAATTGTAAAAAGGATGAATTACCTAATGAATTACTTAGAATAATAAGAGAAATTGCTACATTTTAACTTAAGCATCCAAACATTGTTGAAATTCTAGACTCTTATCTCACTGTAGACTCCTAATTCATAATAGTAAGTGAGCTAGCTCAAACAGATCTCAGCAAGTATAGAATGAAATAAGGAGCGCTTAGTGTTTCTGAGATAAGTGGAATTATGCTACAGATTCTTAATGCTTTAGACTACATTCATGATAAAGGATTTATTCACAGAGATATCTCTCCTTAAAACATCCTTATTTTCGACGATAATACAGTCAAAATTTGTGATTTCGGCATTGCATCACATGGAAATTAAACTTAGATGAAAGCTGGAAAAGAACTTTACATGGCTCCTGAGGCAATGTTTGGAAATAACAAGTATGATAAAATGATTGATATCTGGTCGTTGGGAATCCTGCTTTATTTTTTATGTGTTGGATCTGAGAAATACAAAGATTCCTCAGTTAATTTATATGCATTTCGAAGCTAAAAAATAGAATTGCCACTTACTTACAAGTGATTCTAAATTATTCTAGAAAAAATGCTAACTTTTAAGCCAGAAGATAGACCCTCTGTTTCAAATCTGAAAATTGAATTTTTAACTCTAATTGATAATCAGAAAATCCTATATGAATAACAATAGCAATATTTATCAAAATTACTTTAGGATTTCTGTATTTAGTTAGATCAAGATCAATATCGCCTGACATAAACTTTAGAGATGAATCACAATCTAAATCTGACTGTTGATGATTAAATTCAATCTGAATTTTCAAGGCTTGATAATTAACTCTCACGCTGTTAGTTTATGCTGAATAATTTTATAAAACTTAAGAATGAGGTGATTGGTAAAACTTAATTGTCAACTTAATCAACTGAATAAAAAATGCATTTTACCTTAATTGAAAATTACAAATAAACCTAGGAAGGGATTTAAAAATCTTTCACTAAGTCAGATAACTTAAATTAAGAAACAAATAGGAAAACTAAAATTTCAAATTAATAGAAAAAGAAAAACAAGAATAATAGTTAAAAGCTAGATGTAGAAGAAGAAAAAGTTGTTCAAAATGATGAAGTACCCAAAATATAGAATTAAGATTAAGAGTATAAATAATAAAAAAATGGGAATGTGATAGATCTTGATGATCTATAGAATGATATGATACAAAAGAATTCTACTTTATCTCAGTCAAAGCTCATTCAAGCATTGGATAATGATTAAAAATAAAGTTTGCCTCAATTTTAGTCTAATGTGACTAAAACTTACTCAATTAAGAACAAAAACACAGAATTCTATGATATTCTTCCTTTTAAAGGTTACATAATTTTAGCACCAGTAAAAAGTAAGAAGTGCTATGTCTTGAATTCAGAATAAAATTATAAAAAAGAATTTGAAATTGATGTTGAAGCTTAGCTATTATATTAATAATCAGATTATTTGATATTTGTAAATAAGAATAGTATCAGCATTCTAAGTGGCTAGGATTAGCTAATTGAAAATCAAATATAAAAGGAAATATATGTAAGTAAGAGCAGAATTCACAAAATTATTCAAATTAATCAAGACATATTCCTGGCAGGATAAAGTCATGGCTACTTTTAGTTATTTAGTTTATCAAACATAACTTTCTCATAATTATTTTAGCTAAAAGGTTCTAAAACAATAAATGATATTTGTTTAATTGAAAATGTCAATGAAAAAGAATTCATTCTAGCATTTGGCGATTCAAACAATGGAGTTATAATTGGAAAACTAATAATGGGAAATGATTTTAATTTTGAATTCTAAGAAAACAGAGATAAATCTATGTATACAGGAAATTGTAGATGCATTATAAGCTTGAAAAAGAATACTATAGCATAAGTTATAAATAATACCTAAGATATTTTGATGCTCTATGATTTAGAGACTAAGAAAACAAAAATTTTAATGAAATCATAAGAGCCCTTCTACATTTATCCATTTACCTAATTCAATAAAGACCAATTAGATGATTAAAGCCAAGCATTAGGTAATTAAAATATATTAATTAGAACTTCAAAACATATATATGTGATGAATACTGAAACATTAAAGATCAAGTTCTTGATTTCGTCAGAAATTTCATCTACAACTGTAATTTCCCCCAATAACTACAAAATATTCCTGACAAGCAAGAAAAAATCGAAAGTTAAAAAGGGTGATTAGAGAAAATTCAAGTTGGTAGACCAGCAATACTATATAAAATCAGGGATACTGGGAATTAAAGTTGTCAGTGAAATAAGAGAGATCGAATTTAGTAATTGAAACAGATTTATCAGTTTAAAAGTAATTGAAGTTATTTGCAAGCATAAACAATGAGATTTAAATATAAATTGCTTATTTAGTATTATTTCAGGCAGGACATGAGTTTAATCATTAAAATAATTCAAGATTAAAATTAGCTTATTCATGTCTTGAGGGGTTTTGGGGTTTTGGGG